GCGCGTTTACAGGGCGTCGGAGCCAATAACAATAACAACATGCTGCAATAATAGAAACAGAAAGAAAAATAGCAATGATAATAACAACAATACCAACAGAACTGATAAGAAGAAGAAGAAGAATAGGAGTGGCAATTATAGTAGCGATTACAGTGGTAAGAAGAATATCTCGAGCACTGCTCATATCCATAACACCGTGACATTAAAACCAATAACAAACATAACAACAATAATAACAGCGAGCTCCCTGACTCCCTGAAAGGCCTGGTCCCGCAGCCAGGTCTTCGGCACAAGGCCCAAGGATGCCGTTGAACCTCCGAGGTTATGAAGGGACTATAAGGGTTTGATTTTGGGGCGTATAGTTGAACCTTTTCAGGTTCGAGGGCTCTTTGTGGTTGTCAGAAGGTTTGATGAGGGTTTCTGGGGGGGCTATTTGGGGGTTTGATTTCGAGGGCATGTAGGGTTGTTGGGTTCTTAGGGTCTTGGAGCTCGCAGGGTCTGCGGGGGGGTAAGGTTTAGGGCTTTTTGCGGATTGAGGACTTGCAGTTTAGTGCTTGTGGTTAACTTCGTTCAAAGGTTGGGAGAGTTTGCAGGGGCTTGACACTGATTCTTAGGGCTTGGGATCTTGGTGGATTTGAGGGCTCGCGATTATGTATGGCCTCAGACTGTGAGGCGTTGCGGGAGTTCTATTCGCCTGAGGTTTCCTGGCTTCTGCAGGGTAAAGACTCGCGGTTAGGGTCTGATGCTTGCCTTTAAACTTCGGAGTCTGTGCTCATGAGCTTGAATTTTCTGGGTTATAGGGTGTGGGATTGCATGCCATGAACCTGTGGCTGCTTGCCTTCAGAAGGGACTATGACTTCATAGCATACAGGCTTGCACGGCCTTTGACACGCACTGTTCAGATTGGTCGTATAATTTCTTGCGGGATTGTGTGGCCTTTGTGCACTTCTCGCTGGTGCTTCCACCCACCATTCATGTAAAGAGGATGTAAAGAGCTTCCCGGGTTGGAAGGATGTCGCAGGGTTCTGCCTTCGGAACAGTTGAGAAGTGGAGCAAGCATACCCTTGGACAAGGACTCGAGAAATGCAACAACCATTTTTTTCGCGGCTTATCAATTTTAGAGTACAATATATTTCCAGGATAGTGTTCAAGGGGCGGTGCTACATGGAGTACAGAACTTAGTCGACCCATCTTCTGTCTAGAGACATCTTCTGAGGAAGGCCGGTGTCCACGGTGGCTCCAACTAGGATGAACTGGCCGATGAACCTTCGTTCGTTAGTTGTGATCTCAGAGCGGCTTTGGCAGCGATGGCAAACTGCTATCCGATCCGCAACATACGTCCCCATATAGATAGATAGATAGATAGATAGATAGATCGATGGATGGATGGATGGATAGATAGATATAGATGTACAGCTACATCTACATTTACAAATGCACATACATATACATATACATGTACATATACATATACATATACATATACATATACATATATACACATTCAGAGACGCATACATACATACATACATACATACATACGTACATACATACATACATGCATACATACATACATACATTACATACATGTGTACGGATATATATATATATGGATGTATGTATGTATGTATGTATGTATGTATGTATATGTAGATGTATATATATATATATACATATATGTGTATGTATCTATATGTATTTATACATGCAGGCGCCACTATCGCCAGGCAGAGGGTTTGTGCGAGCGGCACCAGAGACTACTGAAGCTCTTCGAGCCCTCTTCTTCGACCCCTCAACTCCATAACACCACCTGCAGCTTTAAGCACCTCACAGTCGAAAGGCCCTGAACTCAGGTCCAGGGTTTGAAGGTGTTGGATTTGCAAAGTTCGGGATCGAGCCTCAGGAGCTGGAGCACTACAAGCATTGCGCCTCGCTGAATCTCAGTTCTCAGCTCTTGCGGTTCACCCTTCCGGGAGCTAGGTTAAACGCTGGAGAGTTTGCAAACATGGCAAGACCTAGAGCTCTAGGCTCAGGGGTTGCCAGCATTCTACACCCTCCACCCTAAACCTCCTAAGCCTCCATCCCGAAGCCCCGCTCCTAAAAAAGATTGTGCGTTTTGGGGCGGGTTGCAGTATCAGGATCGAATAATCGATCGCCCCAAGAGCGAACTTCGTCTCTGTGTCCTTCCAAAGACGCAGACTGTCTCTGGAGGCATGTCTTCCCTCACTGTACGTGAGCATATAGGGACTCCTGGTCAAAAGGTTTAGCATTTACCATTTTTTGAGGTTAGGACGTAGGATGTAAGGCTTTGTTGTCTGAGGGTACAGATTTCGGGCTGGGGATAGAGGCTCACGGCTTGGAGGTCAGTGGCTCAGAGCGTGTAGGGATCATGTTGGAATCTGGACACGAATCCTAGGCCCAACCCCTAACAGCCTAATCTGATGCCACTTCTCATCTAAACTCCTCTCCTCACTATCCTTTTGAACTCTTGAACTTCTTACCCCTGCATGCCGGCTCCAGATCGTCACCAGCAGCTCGGCGGCGCAGGGCACGCAGCAGCATCAGCGTGGATCCTGCCGCCTGAAGGGTTAAGGGTTGATATGGAGACGTTCATCATTAAGATAGGCTTCCTTTGACGGTTCCTCAAGGGCCCTACCACTACCATGGTTCAAAGAAAAGGGTTAAGGGTGTCAATATCGGGGCCGCAAAGGTTAGGCTGGGGTCCTGGGGCATATTATACTACAACTGTAGAAAGACCATAGTGGAACGCGAGTGTTTATTCCCTATATTGAACGGCTTGTTGTTGGGATTCAAGCTGAATCAAGGTTTAGGGTTTGTTGTTCAGGGCTGGTGGCCTTTACAGTTCCAGTGTTTGAGGTTTTGGGGTTGTGTGTTTGCGGTATAGAGCCGAGGATGAAAGAACAGGATGCGCTCAGGCTGTTCCCAAAGTGCCGCAACCTTAAGCCCTCAAATACACACCCCACCCTAAGGTCCAGCAATCACAAACCTCTAAGGTAGTGGACCCATAGATTATAGACTACCTAACTCATGATCTTCATGATTAGAATAGGGCTTAGTGGGCATAAACATCTACTTAGTACACCTATATACGAACTATCAAGAGAACATCTGACAAAGTTCCGACCCCCTCCCCTTTGCCCAAAGCCTCCCAAACCGCACGCTGACGGTGCTCGACCGAATGGCTTTCAACCCTCGGCAATTCTGCAAATGACCGTGAACCAAGTCGAACGTCTTTCTCGAATCCTGCGACTCCGCGCTGGAGCGAAGACCACGAAGACTTAGAATCTCAAGCAGAGACTCTAAGCCTCACACCAAATCGAGTAGAGCGAACCCCCATCTCGGTACCCTAAGACATCGACTCGAATCTGTTGAGGCCGAAAAGCCAAGGCCACATCGTCTGTCGCCATGTTGAAAACCCAGCCTACGACCATGGCAGTGACCTGGGACATGTCTGAGCCTAGAGCGTCGGGTTGGGTTCGGGGCGACGAGGCTTAGGTCCCGGGATTGAAACTCTGCGGGTTTAGAGTTTGCTGCCAACAAGGTGTTTATGTGACTTTGTCCTCTCTAATTGTGGTCTTCTGCCGTTCGTCGTGCTCTTTGATGCTCCTACCAGGATCCTCGGTGCACCTTCAGTTATGGCTGCGACCTCAAGTCAAGGATCCGAAGTCATTGATTCCAATTCCCCTCATCCTTGTCAACCCTGACTAAGCCCCCAAACCTTCAAATCCTAAACCCCTCAACCCCAAACTTTCCCTAAACCCTTGAGCCGTAAACAGCAGCTCTGAAAACAAGGGGCTCTAGCTAGCCCTCGGGTTCAACCACCCAGGTACTGGCGTCCGGGGGGCGCGGGTTTGTGGTTGAACAATGCACAAGAATGCAAGGTGGCTGAAAGTGGACTAGTGTAGCATTACAGGGCCGGAAGGCTTTCAGGGCTACTGACAATAGGGGCGCTCTACCCAAACATTTGCACCGTTCAGAAGCAATTCTGCAGAAAAACGCTTGCATCAGCGTGTGACCTCAAAACCCGGCCGGAGCACAATCACCGCCACGGCCACCATGTAGAAGCGCCAGAGGCACCTTCAGATGGGCCAAATGTGCTCTTCGGATTGCGCCCAGACTGCACAGCGAAGGAAGCTTTGAGACTGACCCTTGCACATCGGCGTTAGGCTGAAACGCAGACCTCCGCAAAAGTTCTGCAGGTCCTGCATCCTCTAAGTGGGAACTTCGACCTCCCGCGATTCCAACTTGTCCTTTGGATGCCCGTCAGAGCCCTGATTGCTGAACCCTCAACGCTCAACCAGGGGAGCCCAGTGGCTTGGATTGGGGTGCTGCTAGCTCCACATCGATCTCCTGGCGACACAAGCGAAGCCCTCAGCACTACTCTAGCAGAAAGCTCTGCAGCATGTGAAGGATTCGGGGAAAGCTTCGAGTCTGCCACCTACTCGATAAGTCGGCATGCAGCATTTCAGGATCTTCAAGCTGGATCCCTCCACCGGTCTACGGAATGCTCCTGGGCACGAGGCTTCCTTCGGATGCTCCGAGTATCCACGAGGTCTGGGATAAGTTCCGGAATGATGTCTAGAGGAGTGGCATGTGCACTAAACTTAGCAAACGCCCCGAGACCAGGCCCTCAACCACTTTGGCTCCGAAGCTGGCCCTCAAAACCTGAGCCCTGAACCCACCCTAACTAACTTGACTCCTCAACTTTTAATCCAAGCCCCCGAAAGCCCCAATGCCCATCATCTTAACCCCGAACCCTGCAAACGCTAAGTCCGACAACGACACTCCGAGGTCCTCCACCGGCTCAGGGGCAGTGAAGAGCAGGTCCTGCCAGATGGGCGGAAGCTCTCTGCAGGTCGAAGCTCAGGGTTCTTGCTTTTGGGGTTCCAAGCCTGCGAGCAGGGGTACTGCCTTGTCGGGTTCAACCACAGGTACTGGTATGGGGCTTAAGCTTCCGGTCCACAACCAACCAGGGTTCGGTGGTTCTGGGCGCAAGGGTTTAGGGTTGCGGTGTACCGTCTGGCGCACGCAGGCTGCGCAGCATGTGTTTCCCCCAAAACCAATATTGGAGGGGCATGGAGAAAGGTTCGACGAGGTTGCGAGGGTGCTCCGGGCTATCTTTCGCTCCTTTTCTCCTTACCGTGCAAAACCTTCGGCAAACTCGACCCCCTAGTTACCCCCGAAGCTCACGAAATCTGCGGCTGGGTCCTTTCGGAAGTACAGGCACAACGCACCTCAGTTGTGCATTTCAAGGGCTTCACAACTTATCAAGGCTTTGGGCTTGGGGACACGGGCAGGCTTGATCCGTCACTCAAACAGGCAACCGAACCCCTTTGCATTCGTGAACCCTGAAACCGAAAGCCCCGCCTCAAACCCTCGCTTTTGACCCCATAGTCGCAAAAATCCTGTGAAAACCCAAACCAACAGAACCTCTCAGCAGCAACCTCAACTTCCGCCGTGTCGCAGGTGTTCATGGCCAGGCCGAGGATCACAGGCAGAAGCATCGCCTATCGGCGCAGGAACAAGGGCTTAGTAGAGCCTTTCTATAGTGGTCTTTGTTGCGGGTTCTTTGAGGTTTCTCTGGGGTTCTTGCCAACGAACCTAATAAGATCATGGGGCTTCTATGAGCTCTCACAACTCACAGGGGCGTTCTAGGGCTCTGGTTAGAAGCCACTGAAACAAAGGGTGTATTGTAAATACGATGCAGGGCAACAACTGAACTGCTGACTGAGGACTCGTTAGGGATGTTAGGTGATGTACGGCCTAGCGCTGGGCATTCAGGAGTAGGATTTAATTTTGAAAGACTGTAAGAGTTGTACGAACAATGAGCCAGAATTACCATCGACGATATCAGTAGTGGCCACCTTCGTTGTCGTCGTCGCCCTGGGCGGCGGCATCGTCGTAGTCTGAATCCCCCAAGCGCAACCAAAAAATCTATCAGAAGCCCATAAACACCAGAAAATCCCGTACAGGAACCAGACAAGGCAATAAGAGAAGCTCGACCCCAAAATCTGAAAAAAATCTGATCGAATCCACGGACCCTCAACGGTCAAGCCCCTAAGCCCTACTGAACTTGGAGGCTCTTTCGACTTGGTAAGAACCTCTTGAGGTCCCCCGAATATCAATAACTTGCCCACCCCTACTTGCTAAGCCAAAAGAGCATTCAAATCAGCCCCGGGTGCAAAGCCCTACAATAGAAACTTATCCCAAGGCCTTAGTACCCCAATCCCTGGCCTAAGCTCCCAAACCCTCGTTTTCACTCCATCCGAACCGTGAACCCTCATGCCCGTCCCAAGACCCCTGCAGCCAACATATTAACAGGACAGTACTTGATAATGGGCCGTTCATCCCATGTTCCATGTCTGAACCGTCATGCACAAAGCGAAAATAACCCTTGTCACCGAAACCTAAACCCTGAACTCCCAGAACCCTAAATCCTGAACCCTGAACCCTAAACCCTAAACACTGAACCCTGAATCCCTGACGCGCACCTCTGCAAAGTTCAGAAACGTGAGGCCCGGGGAGATCGACGCAATCAGTGCGTTTTGGGGGTTTCCGATGATCCTGGAAAGAAAACTTCGGGTTCGCGGGGAGGCGTAGGCCTTTACCTGGCTTTGAGGCTTGAGGTTAGAATGTGCAGGTCTCTGCTGCGAGAGTGGCTCGCAATTGTCACGGAACCCGTTGTGGAGCACACAGCGGCATGCTGCCGAGCTAACTGCAGCTTTCAGGGAAGAGTAGTGTGTCTAAGCCCCAGATTCCGGTACCCTGAGTTGCTGCAGAGCCGCGTCAGACTTGAACCGATGTTGGAGGAGGTTGCCACAGCCTGGGTTCAGGCATCGGATCTGAGTTGCTAGCCGTCAGGCGCAAGCTTTTAAGCCAGGAAGCTCCAGTACGGTTGCCCTAAAGGGTGAAGCCACCTTCCGGATCCCAAACCAGCTTCAAAGCCCTGAAATCACAATGCGGGCACCCTGCCGAAAATCCTTTGTTCCCTCAGATGTCTATATCACTTTTTGATGGCGGTTGGGTTAGGGATACCTTCTGTCCGAACCGTCAGAGCAACACGAAATCCAGTCCCGAACACCAAAGCCCTAAACCCAACACTCCAAAACGATCATGATCATGTGATTTTGAACTTTAAATATTTTGAAACACCCTCACATGATCAACAGAACATCGAGCTCCTCTGTCACGGCTTAAAGCTTCCTCAAACGGTCAAAGCAGCAAGGAGGAAAGGAATGCTCGTCTTTGCCCCTCGCCGGCGGCAGAGGTTGAGAACCACCGGGGTCAGAACCTCCGCGGCAGCTCAGAACGGAGCTCTTGGACTTCGAGGTTTAGGGCTTTAGGGTAGTGCTTTGAATGTTGCAAGTCTATTTAAATCTAGAACTTCTGCTTCAGGGCCCACCGGCCCTACATTGAAGCGTGAGCTCCACATACCAAGCCCCAAACCCAAAGTACCCTCAGCTCGAATTCCTGAGCCCAAGAGCCTAAACCCTAAAACGCTAAACTGTAAACCCTAGACCATAAACCCTTCGACGCTCAAGTCGCCAGGCAGGTGGTGTCGTTGGTTAGCACCGCAGAGGTCGAGGCAGCCATGAAGCAGACCTCTAACATGGCTTCCGAATAAGTTTCACAGGCTCTGCATCGGGGTAAACAGGGCATGAATAAGGTTTCTTGCTCAGTGCGGCTTTATGGGGCTTCAGAGTTTGTTGCAGGTTGGGAACAAGCCCTTACCATCCCTTACCGAAGCTACTGAGTTCGACTCAACACTCCGCACAGTGACATGAGATGACGCATAGGTGACAGGAAGAACTGCCAAAGATGCCCCCATTCATCCGAACCCTAAACCCTAAACCCCAAACCCTAAACCCCTAAACCCCTAAACCCCTAAACCCTAAACCCTCAACCCCGAATCCCGGCGCCTTCAGCAACAGCTTCCTCGGAGACTCTGAATCCAAGAGCTCCTCCACTCGCTGCCACAAGCCGGTGTCCTCGTGCTCCAGGCTTCGAAGTCTTGGGGGTTTACAGGGGGGGTTATAGGGGTTTTTCAGGGGCGGAGTTGAGGGTTCAGGGTAATTTGGGTGAAGGACTTTGGGATCAAAGGCTTTCTGCTCATAGTTCTATCGGCAAAAAACTATCGGAGAACATATACCGAGACCAACACCCACAAGAGCACCCCAACTTCACGCGGCCCTCTGTCTTTGACATGTTGGGACTTGGCGGACGAGGTCTTCAGGGCTTTAGCATTAGATTTCATTAGATGCTTGGGATCTGGAGATCGAAGAGGCCGCCTGGTTTGGGGAGCCGGCTTTGACGGACGAGGCAATCTTGGGGTAGGAATAGATAGTACCATTCTCCGCTTTTTTGTCCATGTGCAACTATAGATAGAGTATCTACTCCAAAACACTACTCCAACTACTAAGGCCAATGTCTTACATTGCTCTAGTCGGGGTTGTCGGGATCTTGCACGCATTTCGCATTCTGAATCGCGGGGTTTGGCACTCCGGCTCGAAAATGAGGTAATAATGGTTGGAGGGATGCATGAAACCTAAACCTCACACTTCACACAGCCTGCCACTGCTCAAGGCTTCAATGGCTTTCTGTGGAGGCCTGAGATCCTAGGAACTTGAAACTCCTGTCCCCTGCAAGGGCTAGAACTCCGGACTTTTCCAAGCCCTAAGAGAAAGTTGAGCCGAGGCCTTGAGATACGCGTTGACCAGCATCAGCCCGAAGAGAAGGGCGATGGGCGTAGGGTTGATCCTCGAGTGGGTTTTGCTTCTATGGCTCAAGGTTCAGAGCGTGGGGTTTATGGTCCACAGTGCCTTGTGTGCCTGGCGTCGGGACTTGAGCGCTTGAGTGCTCGGCCGAGCACATGCACGCTTGTTTTGAAGTGTAGGGTTCAGACATCTCCGCTCCGTCTTGAAGCACTGCCAATCGAAGAGTAAGGCAAGGATGCTGCACACGTGCCAAACACCGGATCTAAACTCAGGGCTTCTTTTGATCAAGGGAACAAACTACACCCAATTATAACCCGAAATTCCGCAGAGCTGCTTCCCGAAGATGTCCACGGTTGGGTAATCCTCCTCGGGCCAGGCCGCATGGCACAGCTCCTTTGCCCAGATATCAGATGCGTCATCGTGCTTTGAGGGTTATCAGTGCTCGGCCGACGTGGGGCCCCGACCTATCAACGCTGAACCTCGGGAACCCAATCATCCAGGAAACTCGTAACTCCTGCAAGCCTGAATCTTGAACGCCGGAAATCTTTAAGCCCCAAAACCCTCAACGCTATCCCAAACCCTGTAAACCCTCAACCATAAGTCCTCAAGCCTCAAACAGCCTAAAGCCTTCGACAATCTCGACCCTGAGCCCTCACGCCGAAGCACCCGCAAGCCGCAGGCCATGGCGGCAAAGACCATCGCGATACATGGCCTGCAAGATGCTTTGAGATAAAGAGGTTCCATAAGGTTTCGGGTCTATCGCTTTTCGGGCTCTAGGGATAAAGGGCCTAGCGTTTAGGGCTAACGGTAAAATGGGGTTCGGGGTTTGGGAGAGGGTTTAGGACTTCAGCGCGTAGGTGCTGGCACGCAGGGTTTCAGGAGCAGAGCGGGCTGGCTTTTGTTGGTTTGGCTTCGGGGTCTGGGTTTATTGGCTCAGGTGTCTAATCTGTCGGCTGGAGCTACTTGCTGCTCCTAGAAGGCTGGAACCACACGTCTCTCGCATGCACCTGACAAGACCTAAACCCAAGAGTGCTCTGGGAAATTCAACTCTAAACCCTGATTCCAAGACCCTAAACCAAGCCTAAAATTCCGCTCAAGTCGCTTCAAACCCTCCTGGGCCTGCCCAGGGGCAGATGCTGCGGCCACATCAGCAGCGCCCAAGCGGCCACGTAAATGGCCTTTCCAATGCCCAAAGCACCAGAAGACAAGCTGTAGAGCAATCCTGTCCTGCAGACGATTAGTCTCCCCTTAGGGCCTCGACATGCAAGGATAATCCGAAGAACAACCAACAGGTCTCTGGCTGAAACTCTAAATGGACACCAGCCTTCGTGACTTGTGCTCGTCTCGACTTACCCAAGCTTTCGCAAAGAAGCTTCTTACTCACCGGAGAAGACCTTCCGAAAGGGACCAAACTTGAAGATATGCATTGAGAGAAGAGGCGAGGTTGCCCCAGACCGCGAAAGGAGGGAGGGAGAGCATCCCATCCTCAAAGTCGGGACTTGTCACACAGCCACTTCACCAAGGATTCCGAAAGTGAAGGTTAACCTCTTTAACTGTTGTCCGGCATGATGATGCTACTACTTGCGGTCTAAATGAGGGTCCCTTATTTTCTGCAACCCCCTGGCGAGAAGCTGTAAGGGTCTAGAGGCTGGTTTATGGCTTTGGCGTTAGACGCTCGGGCCTTTCCATGGTACATGCACCTGACAAGTTCGGTGATGACGGGATTGTGGGGATTGTCGGGGGTGGAGGACCTAGATTTGGCATGGCCTAGTAAGGAAAGAACACTACAAACGAGATCTCCCTCTTTTGGCTTCTCTTCGGAAACGGGTCTTCTCCGGTACCCCACCCCGCCTCAGAGAACACTCTGGAGAAAGCAAAGCGAATGCCACTTCAGAAGAACGAAGATACAAAAAGCCCAGCACGCAAGATCCCCAAGACATTCACGGGGTGTGCGCATGCTTGCATTGCGGTACACACCTGTATGTGTGCAGACTGGACACATGCATGCATGTATGGAAAGTCTCAACCCTCAAGACCTCAGCTCAAAATAATTGGCCCACCGCAAGCCCGTGAACGAAAACTGTAGTCTTAAATCCGGAACTATAAGACCCTGAACCCCAAAAGCAAAACCCTTCTCCGAGGAAGCCATAAGCTCATAAGCCCAATCTGAGCAGCTCCGACAGACGTCAGGCTCGTGGCCACGAAGCGGTTCACGAACCTCTGACTTAGGGTTGAGGGTTGAAGTAAGGGCTATGGGCGGTTAGGCTGTTCGGGATCTAGTGTTCAGAGCTCAGGGGTTCAGTGTAGACGCAGACGAGTTCAGGATTTACGCTCTGAATGTTCGTCGTGGTGATAGCGGTCGTAACCCAGTTGTTCTATGTCGATGATCCTGGTGATGATGCCGATGGTCAAGAAACCTGTGATGAAATGAAGGGGAGCAGCCGCATGCCCATCAGGGACGAAGGCGGAGGCGGAGGCGGCGGAGGAGGAGGACGCTGATGGCGATGGTGAGGGTGATAGTGATAATGACGATCGTTGATCGTGGTGGTGATGATGATGATGCTGATGCCGTGGACAATGATGATGAGGCTGAGCATGCGAATACGTATGAAAACTAGTGTTTCGATGATGTTTGATGCTCCGACCTTCGGTGCTGAGGCTATCTTCGGCTATTCTTCGGGGATCCGATCACGCACGCATACTCTTGGCTCTGGCATGAAAGCGCTTGGAAGGTCCCAATTGCCATCCAGGCCGCGGTTGCGCCTGTTTTCCCCACATCTTGGGCTAAGTCTGGGGGAATCCAAAGGAGGCCGGAAACTTGAGCAAAGGAGGCCACGGAGAGAGGCTTGGCATGGAATGTGGGAGTTTACGGGGGCAGCATGAGGAGTTTCGGAGCCCTATGCAGGTAAAGCATAGGTCCAGCGATTCCAAAACCTTGGGTCTTTCTGGTTTGCTGCTGACGTCACCCAGCTCTTGAAGCTTAAGCTAAGACCACGGTGAGTAGATCCGTTTTAAACTGCTCTCTGGTGTCTTGTGGAAAAGCTTCTTGGCATTAGTGCCCTTGGGGTTACAAGCTAGGCTTTGGGATCAAGGCTCCTGGGATTCGGATGGGCAGTATACATACTATACTGTCTCTCTCTCTCTCTCTCTCTCTCTCTCTCTCTATATCTATATATATATATATATGTACGTATGTGTGTGTGTGTATATATATAGAGTATTATGCATATCTACATATTGCGCGCACACACACACATATGTGTGTGTGTGTGTGTGTCCATGTGTGTACATGTATATAATACCCACTAGCCCGGGTTTGATGGCAGGAGTGACGATTGCCTTGATGCAGTATCCTGGCGAGGTTCAGAGCCCTACATGTACCGAAGCCCTAACCCCCAACCCCAGACACGAATCCCCAGTCCCAGTACAAAGTAGCAAATGGACAATCATAGTAAAACATGCAATATACAACATACTATGGAACATGTGACATACAACATGAAACATAACTTGTCGAAAGCCCAGAGCCCTCTTTTCGCAAAGATGCGCTCGAGTTACGCAAAATCATCGTGGTCCTCGTCTCTGTGCCGCTTCGGAGACTCAAGACACCCAACCTAAACCCATGAGAGAACGTCGCCCCCAACCTTGTGGTGACCGCCGGACATACCCCTCAAAACGAACTGAGTCCATACAACCAAAAACGAGAACTTCTAGTTTGCTCTTCAGTGCCTTGGACTCTCGAGGCCCAACTCTGACTGTCAAGAGTCATCACGGTTTTGGACTTGCGGGGTTTAAGGCTGCGGGGTTTGGGGATTTAGGGGTTTAAAAGTGCCTAGGCTACAGTCTTCTCTGAGCTCTGCTTTTGAAAACCTTCTTCTCTTCTCCACAGGCGCTTAAAGGGCGCAGGTGTAGCGGCAAGTTGCTAGTTGAAAGAGCTTTCTCAGGAGCAGGGTCGAAAAGTGATTTGGAAGCTCTGAGAACTCCGGCTTCTAGGGCTTAAAGGGCTTAGGGTTTAAGGCGCAGGGTTTAGGGTTTAGGGTTTAGGGTTTAGGGTTAGGGTTTGGGGTTTAGGGTTCAGGGTTTAGAGGTTTCGGGGTTTAGGGTTTAGGGTTTAAGGCTTGAGGGATCTAGGGTTGATAGGGGTTCAGGGTATAACAACGAAGCCCACCGCCTTCGAACCTAGCAAGTACTTGAACCTCACGCGTGAACCTTATCAATATCTTAAAACCCAAGCCCTAGACCCTAAACCCTAGACCTCTAAACTCTAAAGCCTAAACCCTAAAGCCCACCGCAAGACCCGACTAGAGCGCTGCCCGGAAGGTTTGAGGGGCCTTTGGGCTAGGCTCCTACGGTGCCTCTAAGGCTTAGTGTGCGGGGTTGTGAACTTGTAGTTTTTAGGGTCTACTTCCTATCAGTTGGGTACTGCCCCCATACAGTAACAGTCTATAATACTATAATCCCCCATACAGTAACAGTCTATAATACTATAATGGGGCTACTATTAAGGGCCTTATATATCCACATTGTGAACATTACTGAACTGTCACTGAGTGGGGGCAGTATCCAACCTATAAGTTGCCAGGCTTAAAACGAATCAGGGCTTAGATCAAGGCTGAAGTCTTGTGGATCTTGACAAACTCCCCTGCTCCAGCGTCGACCCCCGCGAAGTCTCCGAACCCTAGGGAGCTCCCCTGCCCGCCTCTCTCAAACTTACGGGTTTCCCAGGGCCCCAGGTTCAGGAGTTCGGCGTTCGGGTTTAGGACGTAGGGCTCGAAGAGCTGAAGCTAGCGGTTAGGATTCGGATTCTGAACCCGCAACCCTAAGCCCGAAACAGGAACCTAAAGACCGATCGTATCCTCCGACCTTAGGAGAGAAGTTGTCGCTGCTCGGGGTGTTGGGTTGGGTGAAAAAAGGGTCATGGTGGATCTAAGCCTCCAATTCGCGTGGAAAGCCACAAACCCACAGATGCCCTACACCCCAGAACCGGCAACTCCATACTCTCCAATCGCCTCGAACGGACTTGCATAGGCCGTTCTTACATCTAAAGACGATGCTTTCTGTGAGAGCTCTGAGGCAGGGAAGGTCGCGCGGAGCTTCGGAAGCCTGTGCCAGGCGCAGATCTCACGACTCCGCAGGGGGATCCGCCTTCTGCCAGGCATCCACCTCCGCAGCATCAGGGGTTTAGGGGTTTAGGGCTTAGGGCTTAGGGTTTGGGGAGAAGTGAGGCTTTCATTTCGGATTCAGATTCCCGGCTTAGGTGAGGATTCCGGGGTTCAAGGAGCCTCGTGAAGTAGGACTCCGCATCCTTAACCCTGAACTCTAAACCTTGAGACACCGCAAAATGGAGGGAACTCATTGAACTCATAGCCCAACAGCCCACCCAAACAAAGTGCACAAAATCCCCATGGGACTCACGCTCCTCAGCTCTGGTCTCTCCGAGAAGCCCAAACCTCTCGATGAAAAGACGCAAAACACCGAATTACTGGGTTGGGGGTTTTGGGTCTAGGAGTTGGGGTTTGGGGTTTCGGGTTTAGGGTTGAGGCTGGGGCATCAACACGCGCAAGCAAGCCTAGGCCATTCCACGACAAGGCTCCCAAGGCCTAAACGGCCAGACCCCGTTTAGAACCCACACACCACCGAACCTCTATGAGGACCCCTGCCTAGATCCCCGAACTTCCGTCCCGCTCTTACCTGCCCGAAACCCGGCGCTGCTGAACCTCGGCACCCCTCAGTCACGGACAGCAGATAGGTGTTGTGTGGACATGTGTTTTGGGATTTAGGGTTTGGAGCTGAGAGCAGCCCGCAACTCACGACTTCGACCCACTGAACCCTAAACCCTAAACCAACACGCTCTCACCTGGATCGGCTGACCATTGATGGTCTGGCCGGGAAGAGACTGCATGGCTGCTGCCGCCTCGGGCGCTCTGGGCTGCTGGGGCTTCCGACGCCTTACCCTCGGCATCTTCCAATGGTGATGAGCAAGGCTTCCCTCGGATCTGAAAATGTTTAGGTTGCTTGGGTTGCTTAGTTCTGAAATACCTTGAAATTGTCGTGTAGTATTCTTCGCGCAACACATTCGGGCTGGGTTGCAACACGTCTCTGAAAGTCCGCATTTATGCATCTGTAGTCGTTTCAATGTCAACCGTGATGTTCCTGTTTAGCTTGGAGAGTTGTCGGGATTCCCCCTTGAAGTGTTGAGAAGCGCCCTCGACAACAATCCTGCACAAACGTTTCAGCAGCTCCATCTGCAAACGCCAGGCTTCAAGGCTGAGAGGGATCCAGGATGCAAGCATATTGGGAAGAGGGGGCCAGTAGGTAGCGGTATGAGTGAGTAGGGTCAGAACGAGTGTAACCACGTGACGACTTAGTAAGGGCCATCAATAGTCCTCCATGGGGCGAATCCAACCAACTATATTCGTCAAAACCATCCCGAGCCGAGTATACAAACGTCAAGAAATTTGTGCTTGCTTTCGTTTGCCATCAGCAGCGTAGGGACTCTAAGAAAACTCATCACGACCTGCTTCTTGGCTGCACTCAAGAGTGGTCGTTGTCTGAAGGCTCCTTCGGTCTGCAACGTGTCCGTCTTCAAGCTTCGTCTCAAGCCGAGATCCCAAGAAACCCGAAGAAGCACCTCTCAAGGTATCCCCTTACTCACGGAGCCTCTTCGGCTGTCTTGTAGGCAATCATTCCGGTTCCCTTGCCTGGCCAACGATCTTCTGCCGAACCCTACAGTACACCGCAACTGCAAAACCCCGATACCCTAAAGCCCCACACCTTACCCTGCAACCTAAACCTGAAACCGACGGAGTGCCCAAGCCCTCAAGCAGAAAACATCTCTCAAGACTCCCATTGATGGAAAGATAATGATAAGGCCTTTGAGCTTGCGGGCTTTGGGTGACTCGGATTTCTGTGGGTTGCCAGGGTTTAGAGTTTAGTAGCGACGTTTCGCAATACCGACACGAGCGGACTAGTTTCAAGAAGCAGCGACGAATGGAGAATGACTACAACCGAACAAACGGGCTGACGGAGTTCACCTTCTGTGCTTTGGATGTTTGACTCTGGGGAAGTCTGGAACTCGAGGTGCGGCGCTGATACCCCTATACGGCAGACTGTAAGCCCCGACACCTGCAGGTAAATGACAAACCCTAAACCCCGAACCCCACCTTGGAAGCTCAGTGCCCGAATGTCCTACCCAACTTGCGCCTTTTCCTTGGAAGACCTCCACCCAGCGCGTCGTGCCGGCGGTGTTTCCCAGGGTCTGGAGGTCCTGCACAGTTGCGGCCAAGAGTTGATTGTAGGGTCTAAGGTATCAGGTTTGGGTCCTGTTTCTCTGGAACTGCAGCACATGCTCCTCTGCCTGTACAGGGCTAAGTTCCGACAACCTTCGACTCCCCACACCGCGACACTGCGACCCAAGGTTAGACAACTGGAGCCAATTCTCTGACGCCTAAAGCCCTGGTACCCTACGTTCCCAACCGCAAACCCAAGTTCCTGAGCTCTGACCGGGACATGATTCACAGCAAACTCCCGGCACTCAAAAGACGGCTCCTTCCATGTGGCATCCTCCGGGAGGTTCCCGATCCAGATCCTGAAGCTGATACTAGTTCGATTAAGGTTTAGGGCCTGGGGCTTGCTGATCTTATCGTCGTTGCTATCATTATCGTTCTTGCTAGTGCTACTAGTCTTTGGTGCGTCTCTGGCAGTATAGATTGGAAGCAAAGCTGGCAGTATTGATGCTCATGCTTTCGTCAGCGTTGTCAAAACCACTGTCACGACCGTTACTACTAGTTCTTGTGCTTGTATTGTCACATGATCGTTGTTATCACTAAGTTCTCATTGATGTTCTTAGTGCCACAAGACGCATCTCAACGTTGCGATTATTGTCACTGGGTCGTTTGCCTTACTCTTGGTCCCAAGATGTATATAAGGTATCAGGGCTTGGAGGGCGGGGAGGAAGGCTCAGTGCTGAAACCCTGCTTGCAACATGGGGGGGGGGGGCGTTTTCAATTTTTGTTGTGGTAGTGACGACGGCAAGAACAACGACCAACTGAACTGCCAGGTAGTCGTTGAACCATTGGCGAAAGAGCAGCAGGACAGCGAGAGAAACTCGGCATCAAGAAACACGCCCCAAGCCCGAAGACTCCAAAGCCTTAACCTTAATTCCTAAACCCCAACGGTACATCTACACCCCCAGCTTCCCACCCCAAGCCGTCTTCTCGCGGTAAAACTCGAGCTAGGTGCAGCCCAGGCACTTCATGGCGGGATCAATCCTGCCAGCTTCGGTTTAGGGTTGAGGGTTTAAGGTTCAGGGTTTGGGGTTTAAAGTTCAGGTTTAGGGTTGAGGGTTGGGAGAGAATTGGTCGTCGTAATCAAGGATTCGAGTCTCTTTTCTCGGATCTCTGACGTTGCTTGGTTGTCTTGGGCTAAACCCTAAACCCCTAAACCCTAAACCCTAAACCCCAAACCCAAACAGTTGGGGGGCGGTGCTTTTTTTGCTTCGGGTTGAAACTCTAGGCTCCGGGCTTCGCATCCTACCCAGGCACAAGCCCTTGAAGCATAAAGGCTACACTAAACCTCAAACCCTAATCCCGACACCCTAATCCCTTGCCTTCCTGACGTGGTCCCGAAAGCTGGAACCTCGAGCCCTCGAACCTCTAGAACCCCAACATTCATCGCGGACCGGACTCAAAGGTCATTCAACACAACTTGAAGTGTCTGTGAGGTTGCCCTTTGTGGCGTCTTCGGGCTGTTGGTATCCGTAGCTTGGGTCTTCAGTTGCCTGACGCTTTCAAGAGATTTCTCAAGCTTTCAGCGTTTCTGCTCTCCCTTCCGTAGCTTGCACCCAAATCCCGAACTCTTCCAAAAGCTGAACCCTGTCAACGCCATCGCGCGAAATCTGGCGAAGATACTCTCGCGCGACCCGTATAACCGAAACCCCAATCTGTATCCGTAAGCCTCAAGTCGCAGAACAGCAATCAGAACCCACCGAAGCCCGACAGCCAATCCATGCTCCTGGGCCCACGGCGCCAGCCCTTGCCCTTGCCGAATCCCTTCGGGAACCAGGGCCTCACTCACGAGTTTCTTGGGGTGTAAGGGTTTGGGGTCTTAAAGCTCTGGGTTCCGGGGCGAGGGATTTTGGCTTTGAGAATGCCTTTTTACTTTATGGACATCATCACCGTCATCATCATCAACAACATCTACAGCAACATGGTCTTTATCGTCGGCACTATCGTCGCCATCATGACCAGCACCACTGCCACCGTGACCAACCATCAACATAGCCCTCCTCAGGATCCTCAGCATGCCTTATCATCCTAATCCTCCGATTATTCTAGAGCTGAGACCAAACATCCGAAGACTGCAGCACCTTGAAGCCCCCATAACAACCCTGTACTCATCCTCGGTAAACCCCATAGTCATCCCCAAGGCAACACCCCTTGTAAAGCCTTTTTGAACCCCTCTAGGATCCTTTAGAGCCCTACATGATTTGCAAAACCTGCAAAAAAAACGGTACCAAATCCCTCTTAAAGACCCTGAACAGAAGAGCCGTCATAAAGCCACTATAAGACTCTCAGGCTCTAAGACTATAAGACTGTAAGACTCCAAGACTATCAGACATATAAGTTCACAAGAAGACCTCCCTCCTCTTTTGGTCGAGCTGCATCGGGCCCCACCCCCAGCCCCAGCCCTTTCCTTCACCTGGAGCCGGGCTGGTTCTCGACTTGAGGCCGCCTTTTGGGGCCTTTTGGGAGGTTTTGGGGGCTCTCGGTCTCAGAGGGTTATTCGTGATTTCTATCTTGTCATCCTTTGCATGAGCGGCTGCTCATCGTAGCGGGCTGCAGAGACCAACAAAAAAAAGTATGTGCTGGCAGATTTCTGGAGACATTTGGTCTTTTGAGCTTCAGAGCTCCAACCTTCCGGGAGCTCTTCCGGCTGCTAGGATAGCAGAGCTAGTTCCAGTTCAGTTATTCGGTACAATGGCGCATGCTGCTGTAGAAACCTGATTGCCTGGCTCTCAATCCCCAAGACACGAGGAGCAATACTCAAAACTCTTCAAGCGACGGTTGCTTGATCGGGTTCTGACACTACGGGTCAGCAGCTGCAACAACGACAGCCCCTTATAAACAGAAACCTACATAAAAGCCCTGCAAAACCCCATTACAAGCCCGCCGAAGCGTTTCAATCTAAGGCCTCCGCACAAAACCCTAAACTGAGTGGCCTCCTCCGCCCATCTTGCAGACGTCGCGAACGGGACGGCTAATGATTAGTTTTAGCTCACTGGAAGCCGAGAAGCGCGCGGGAATTGATGGTGAATCATGATGGGAACGTTGATTCCAACAGCGGCTATGACTGTTAGGCACGACCCAGCGCTATCAACCTTAGCCCTAAACCCCAAAGCGGCCATTTGCTGCGCGTCCTATTGCATCCTCCCCAGTCTGTCTCTTCGATAGCAGCGCAGGTACTTCGCCTGAGATCGAGGGTGGTGGGGTTTGGCGTTTTCCGGGGTTGGCGGTCGTGGATGATGAGTGAGTTGCGGGATTGAGGCATTGCGAATCTGGCAAACGGTTTTGGAGGTATGCCTAACGGTGTACATCGAAGCCTTTCCAACCGCAACAGCTAAACAAGCCTGCAAAATACAAGGGATTTGCTACGAATGTCCTTGGGCTTTACCCGTCATGAAGGGTTTCCTGCTAACTTTGGTGTAAGACTGACTAGACTTAGGGAGTTTCGGGGTTGAGATACGGCTGAAAAAGTACCAAGGTGCCAGAAATGGTCCAGGAACTTCTTATGCGTGGCGTTTCGAAGGAACGTCTGGCGCGCATAGGCGCGCATGCCTCTGTATCCTGGAGCAGGGAGGAAGGCCCCCTTGGGGTAAGGAATATGATCTAAGTAGATCAGGAAACCCGACCAAGCCCAAACAAAGCTTTCTGCAATGCTCATCCGAACATCCGTCGTAGTTAGCCAGCACATGCCGCAAAGTGGTAGGCAGATCGCTCCAATCGGCATTCACAGCTACATAAGTCGCATTTGATCGGTACATATCCGGCAGTGAGAGTACCCAATCCGACTGAGGCTTCACCACCAAAGCTCCATGAACCCAGCCGCCATGCTCGCAGCCAGTTCGCTCTCCGAATCCCCAGGCGCAAACGACAATCTTACTTTGTCGCAAATAGCTCATGTACTGGTCGCCTTTCAGGCAGTTGAGCCTCGGCTATGGACGGACCACTTCACAAGAGGCGGGGTTTAGAACTTGCGTTTCGTAGTACTTACGCTCTTGTGCAACTTCCCTGAACTGTGTTTCGGATGACTGCTCTGGCTATCAACAGGGGCTCTTTGTCGTTGGACTGTTGGTATTGCTCGTCTCACTGCTTTCGCCCATCAGCATCTTATTGCCATAGCGTTCGTCAGCTCCAATGCTGCGTCTCACATGAGTGTCATCGTCGTCCTGATCGTTGACCCCTCCTCCCTCTCCTCCCCCTCCTCGACATCTGCATTGATACATACATGCTCGAAATAAGCTTGCGTATTGTGCTTTATTACCGGTGTCACTGCAAGTACCTTGAACACTATACAGTGTCACCTGCAGCCAACTGGCCCACGGACCACCTTGTTCCACGTGGCTTTCCAGTGTTCCGACTCCCCTTCGTAACAGAAGTATTGCACCTGCTTCAGCCCGGACAGCGACGGATCGGCCAAGGTCTCCTGGGCTCGGAGTTTGGGCTGCACGAGTTGAAGGGCCCTTGGGAGTTGATGATTTGAAGTTGGGACTCTCGGGCTCGGGTCTGAGAGTCCAAAAGGGACAAAAGCCCAATGACAGGCCAAAAATATCTTCGGCCATCTTGTGGTCTTATGTATAGTCCCCTTATAGTACCCCTTAGAGTATGGTGCCCCTTAGAGTACCCCTTATGGTAGTAACCTTAGAGTACGCCTTATAGCACCCCTTAGACTACCTTTCGGGTTCTCTTAAGAAACAGACAGACGGCTCGGAGAGCGGATCTTTGCAAGGAGTACGGGTCGTCATTTCGCAAGTGCACGGCCACGAACACCTCCAGGGCACCAGGGTTTACGGTTTAGGTTCGAAGATGCCTGTAGGCTTGTGCTGTAGGCTTCCAAAGTCTGAGCATGCGCTTTCGAAAGATTTCTGAAAGCCTGCCAAGATTTGCGGCTCTGGAAAAGCAAAACCCATGGAATTGAGAAAAGAAGAGTGCTGCACTGTGGCTTTTTTACCGAAGTGGGGACAGCCGGAGTCCCCATGTTGATCTTCTACCAACAAGTATCAGGATCTCTCTGTTTGGAAACGATCCCACATCGATGGGCCGCGGCTTGTCCAAGATCGTGTCCGGCTCAGCATCGAAGTCCTGCAGGCACAGATTCCAGCTTCGTAGCAGATCTGGGTCTTGGTTGACATACCCCGGTAGTCAAACATGTGTCCATGGACCTAGAGCCCAAATCCAAGATAAAGAGATCCTCACAACTGGCGTTCTCACCATCCTCATCATGATCACAATCCCCGTCCTCATCCTTACCCCAACCACAATCGTCGCCACCACCCATCATGAGCGTCGCCATCCAGATGCAGGCGTCGCGACCACGAACATCCACATCATCAGCAGCATCTACTTCTTCGGAGCCGCACAAACAGCCCGCATAATCACACAAACTCGCCATCGCTGTACCGGAAGTAGGAGTTAGGATTAGGGGAACCCTTGGGGATATCGACTCTCTCAATAAGGTCCCTTTTAAGAGAGCCAGAAGTAGGGGTCAAGAAGGGTCCCCCTTTTTCGGGGTCTCCCTTTTTCTACCTGAAAGCGGAAGACCCTTGCAGGCTGGGCTGAAGAAACTCCTGGATGGGCTTCTCCAAGATCGGGAAGTACTGCCACCAGATCAAGTTCACCACGCGAATTTTGTCGACCCCGGCCCGAACATTGTGCTTGGGTTTGAATTGCTTCGGACGATCACAGATCGGATTTGTTCGAAAGCGCGTGGAATTGCATATCTTGAAGTAATGGATTCTGCTTTTGAACCAGGGCCATGAATACTGTTCCCTTCTCCGCAGCGCGAATTCCCTAAACATCCCAATAACACGAGGATGATCCAGTAGATCGTGGTCACTGCCCATGGTACTGGAGTCCGTCCGCATGAGAAGAATGGCAGCTCTTCCCTTTGCCAGGTCCTTCTTCACCTTCTTATCACGAGATGAAGCAAAAACCACGTCGGCAGTCTGTGCCGAAGCTGCGAAAACCAAGCCATATTGGCCAGCCACCTTCTTGCTCATGACCTTCTTGGGCAACCGGTCGATCGGGTGGAAGAAGACGCTGTGCTTCCCAAAGCACCGGCACTCGGGCCCTGGAGCAGGAGCCTCGTCCAGAGAAAGTGTCTCAATCTCCTTGATGTCCTTTGGAAGGTCTGCGTCTGCTTTGAAGTCGCCAAGTGCAGGGCCCGGCGCAGCCAAGGCCTCCCCGTCGTAGACCTCCGACACGTTCTCGCCTTCCACATCCCCATCTTCGCTTGCGACATCGAGGTCTGTGCTCGAAACTCTGCTCGCTGTTGCAGGGCCTGTCTCAATCGGATCTTGCAAGAAGGTGAGGACCACTTTGCTGGAAAACAGCTCGCCCGGTGCAGAGGTCAGCCTCACCACTCGCGACAGGCCGAAGAAGCTCAATATGGAGATGACGCAACAAATGGAAGGGCACAAATATCGCCGAAGGTCCGGGGATGGAAGTGCCATGTGAGCACCAGCAAGCAGTTGCAGGCATCATCAGTAGCTTTCATGGACAAAAACCGGCCCCTAAAAACTTCCCCAAAGTTCCCTAACCCTCTAAAGCTTTAGGAGCCTCGGGGGTTTAGGCATGGTTGGGGGGGCAGCGCCCCTCCATGAGACTTGCTTGGAGAACTGGTGTGAGGCTTAGCTTAACGCTTAGGACGTGCACGTCTCAACCATGGTTGCTTGGCGCTACATCCTAAATCCGCAGCCGACACCTTTCCAACTCCATTGAACAACATAGCAGAGTCATGCACAGGCTCTAGTGTGGATGCTGCTAGATTTCAGCAACGAACCCCGACAAGAAGAACAAGAGTGGCACTGTCACCTGCAAAAACCAACCCAACCGAGCAAGGACGAACTAAAAGCAGCACAATAATCATCCCTTGTCATAACCTTGCTCAAAACCTGCCGATTAAAATGGGCATTAGCAGCTGTAAGGGCCTGCTGCCTGCTGCTACGGCCGAGATGCCAGCGAAGAAGTCGTTGCACAGCTTGGTTTGAAAGTGGAAGAAACGACATGGTTCTAGCCGCATGGCTCACAGGACTCAGGGCTTGGGAAGTTCCTCCTGGACGACTCTTGACATTCCCTACCGCACTCAAGCAATGCACCATTGCCGCCAATCTGATCAGGATCGCCTTTAACACGCTGGCTCCCATTGACAATCTTGCATTGAATTTCGAAGCTACCTTATCTACTACTACTTCGCCTTGTGCGGACTAAACAGGCAGATCCACAACAGGGAGATTCTTGCGAGAGCCTAGGTGGGAATAGTCAAAACAAGTCTTCGGGTTCTTGATTTGATGCTGCGTGAGCGCCGGGACTGCGATCTAGGCTGTGGGAGTTGGAGGGTGTGATATGGGCTTAAGTTCGTCTGAAGTTTGGACACAGGTCGAACAGTATGCAGGCGGTCGTAGTCGGCTTTATTTCGCTGCACTTTCGGATCAATCCTCCGGAAAGAACTTCGGAATGCTGCTCGTTGATCTCGGTGTCCTCTCAGTCATGTAGGTGTGCATGTCTTCGCACACATCAAACTCTTCATAGAGCCATGATGCCTGACGCACGAGCGACATGAATATACTGGCGAGGGTCATGATTGCAGATGCTGGTCGATGTGCGACAAAGGGTAGACTGAATGTCGTCGCGATCAACGATATCGGCACTTCGATGGATTCCTCAAGGTCCAACACTTGCTGATATTCCTCTGCTCGCACTTGAGTCCGGACGGTCTGCCGCAGGGCAGATCCGATCTTGCTCAATGCACCAGCCGAAGCAGCCGCAAGCAATGCCCAGAGGAAAGCTCCCAGAATCAACGAGGCAGTTACGTAGGACCTCGCGGCTGCAAAGATTATGACTGTTTGAAGATCTAGAAATATGTCGAGAATCCAAAGCAGCGTTGCTTTCAAGGTCGTGAAACGTGTCTCTGGCTTGCAATGCCTTTGGAAAAAAGCATCATCTCCGGGAGAACAGGATCCCAAATCACGGCGCTGCTCGGCAACCCTGTAGACCCTTTCAGCGACCTTCGAGAGAGGTACTTGATCTTCAGCTTGCACATCACAGCGAACACTGCTTTGGAAAACCGGCAAGTTCATCATGATCCAAAGAAGTGTTAGCAGCAGCACGGCTGCACGATATGCGACCAGAATGTCGGCCAAGGACACCGGCAAGGTAGCTTCACCCTCTGGCCAAAATAGCAGCAACAATAGACCGAAGACGCCTGCAAGGGAGAAAAAGATGCATGTCAAGGCATCCGAGGGCGATGCTCGCCTGAGCAGCCAGAGGCTTCCCACACACAGCGCCCCGAGGGCACAGACGATCTCAAAGGCAAGCCATCCTGCTTGCAGCAGGGGCGGAAACGGTATAGGAAACTCGTCTCTGGAGATTTGATTGAGTTCCGACATGGGATAAGAGCCCAGATCCCAGAGGTATTCGTGTTGCTTGATCCAAGCATCGCCATTCATCAGAATGCACCACACAAGCTGCATCAGCAGATAAGCTGTTCTGAGCCAAGCCCAGAGGTCCCTTACTCCGAGAAACCTCGCGGGCCGCGTCAGCAAAGGACCAAGGTCCCGGAACCAGAGAGGCAGGATGCATGTGACCAGGACCCACGTCACAGTGTGCCACCAAGCTAAAACTCGGGACATTATCGTGGGGAACACGAGCAAGGCAACGACATCCAAGCAGCGTGCAAAGAATGCCCGCTGCACGTGCCAACCAAGCTTTGCAAACTCCTTTGCCCCTGTCTGGATTTTGGTGGCGCGAACTGACACACGCAGATCGCGCTGACAACAAGTCATGCTTGAGCGACCGCGAATGACTCGAGCGACTCGACCTTGAGATGACTCTGTTGTCTCTGTGTGTTCGTCTGTTGCCTCGTTGTCTGAAGTATCAGAGACCAGGCAAAACCATCGTTTGCCAAAGCTGCGCGCCCACGCCAATGGTTCCAGCACCTGAACATACAGCCTAGAACAGCCGACAAGGCCAGAGTCACGAGGAGATACTTGTGAAAGTCTTCATCTCCTGCAACATCCACTAGCTTCTCACGGAAACTTGTCGAGGTCACCTGAGCATCCAATGTCCAGAGATCTTTGGTCTCCGTTCTCTTCAAACACACAGAACTCTTATACTCCGGCATTTCGTCAATGCGAAAATCCAAGTAGTCCCGTTGGTCGATATTCGTCTCTTCTTTCAAAAGTTGCCATACTCGATTCTGACAAGAGCGCAGGGAATCAAACAGGGCTGTCCGCCCGAGAATGTTTGCGTGATTGGCACTATAGTTCAGCTCAGAGAGCATGTACTTTACCAACGATATGTTCTTGCTATGCACGGCACTGAACAGAGCAGTCTCCCCCAGCTGATTCTGGGCTTTTGATTTGGTGTCCAATGTCTTGTTGAAGACATCAACCACTGTTCTATTTCCGCTTAAGGCGGCCAAGTGCATGAGAGTGTTGCGGCTCGCGTCTCTCTGATACGGGTCGGCCCTGAGCTGCAGCAGCTTGTTGCAAATCCCTGCATGGCCACGCCTGGCAGCCCACATGAGCGGCGACCGGCCTACGACATCTGTGCCGTTCAACTCCGGGTTGGCAAGCACGTCGACCGCTTTGAGCAGACCAAGCTTCGAAGCAAGGCTCAAGGCCGTGCGACCGCGGGAATCCCCAGAGGCACACACTCCAGGATTCTCAGTTGCGATCCTCTGGATCATATCAAAGTTTCGCAGCATCACTGCCCAGTGCAGGCTGGTCCAGCCCAGCTTGCCAATGCTCAATGTGGCCTTCGGATCTTCTGTCACCTCTCCATGCAGAACTGCAGCCCAAGACTTCGCACCTCGCTCACCAGCGCGACTTGCCAGCAGCAAGCTGCAATTCTTGGCCATGCCCCATTTTTGACGCTCCGGGTCCCACCACTTTGCTGCGACAGCTGCATCGTCCAAGCAGGTCCAATCTCCCGAGCCGACCCAGGCACGCGCGCTGAGCAGTGCGTCCACGGCCGTCGGCTGAGCGCTGCGCGCCGCGGCACACAACGGGCTTGCTCCATACACGTCCAAGCTTCCCAGATCCGCCTTCCATCGAAGTAAGACTCGAAGACTCTCAACGTCGCCTGCTTCCGCAGCGTGGTGCAAGGCTGTCCGTCCATCAGGCTGCTTTGCCGCAATGCTTGAGGGGACTTTTTGCAGAAGCTGCTCTACAAGTTTGGGATACCCTGCAGCAGCCCAAAACAGCGCCGTTGTCTTGTCTTCGATTTTGGGCAAGAGGTGCTGCACAAGATTTGTATGGTTTTGTTTTGCAGCAATGTCTAGAACATTCAGGCCATCCTCGTCTCGCTGATTGATGCAACGCGTGAAAGCTCCTTGTTCGTGTTCCAAGATTTTTATGACTTTGAGATGGCCTTTGAGGGCAGCAAGATGTGTGGCACTGCGGCCCCAGAGATCGGGAGTGCAGATGTTGGCCCTGCAAACATCAACCAAGTACCTAACGATGTCTTTCCAGCCATTGTCAGCTGCCACCGCCACAGCAGTCCTTCCCTGTCCGCTTTGCGCCTCCACGTTGGCTCGGAACTTCCACAACAACTTGATGGAGCCCAAATTGTTGCCGAAAGCTGCCTTGTGAATCGCCGTTTCTCCCCAAACCGCGGTCTGCTCAGGGCTATCAGGGCTCACCCCAGCTTTCAAGAGAATCTCCAAACTGGCAGGATTCATGTTCTCTGCCGCGAGGATCATGGGTGATTTACCGTATCGGCGCTGTCGCACCAGCCAACGGAAATCTGCCGGTCTCTTGACCACATACTTTATGACGCTGAGAGCATCTTCGAATCCCCGAGAGAAGCGCACTGCTGCGCACAGCGCAGTGTATGCATAGCCTTTTCTATTGGGAGAAACCTGCAATGAAGCTTTTTTCTCAACCAGACTGTCCAGAATATCGGCTTGTCCAAGGCTGGCCGCCCAAATGACTAAAGGGACCCCTGCATACGACGGCTCTACACAGTTATGCTGAACGCAGCCGCGATCAAGCAAGAAATGTACCGCATCGATGCGTTTGTGGGAGACAGCCGCAGCAAGCGCAGCATGCCAGTTCGCCTGCGGCCCCTGGTCAGCCAGGTTAGTCCAGAGGTTTTCCAGAAGTGCTTGCCGGCCGTCGGCTGCAGCCGCTACCAGCAAGGAAGCGTTGCCTGTATTGTTTTCATACAATACCGTGTAATGAGGGTCCGGATCCTTCTTGCGATCATCCCAGTGCTTCCATAAACCATAATGACAGCAGCACTGCCGTCCGAGATCTGATTTGTCACGAGACGGTCCCTTGCAGAGCTTACCATGCACTGTCCATTTACACCACCATTTGTTGCAAACACGGATCGGTAAAGGGAAATGCACCGGTTCAGAAACTCCGCCAGGTGTGAAGAGACTCGCAGGCTCCTCAGCTCAACGGCCTCCTTGAAAGCGGCGAGCTTTGCAGTGTCTGTGACACAGAACGCCTTTACAGCAGAAACGTCATCATGTGCAGATGCTTCCAGGCATTGTGTCGATGCCATGGCTTCCGGCTCCACGCGACCGAGGACTTTGAGTGAGGGTCCATTTCCAGTGCTCTTACTCTATGTGACATGAGACAACCCTTGTCTTCAGCTCTACCGCACTCTACCATGCTTCTTCGAGGGATGGCGTTTTCAAGCGGGATGCTCAAGTTCGTAGGACTCGAGAGCCCGCAGCTGCACCGGCATGTTCGGAAGCTCAGATTCAACCGTAGCATCTCTTCAGATCTCTTCAATGCCGTCGGAGACTTTGGGTGCAGGCTGAGAGGAGTGAATTCTCGCTCACAACAGCACCGGTTTTCAGCTGAGCCCAAGACTGCCGACGCGAAACTCGCTTTCTCGCATCCTACGGGTCGCCGCGACCTTTGTGGACTCATGGGATCTTGGACTCCAAACCAAGATCCATGGTTCTCCTTCAGGGGCTTCTAGAGTTTAGGGCTTAGCCTCCAAGGGACCCTGCGCTTCAAGCTTTTGGGCTTTGGATTCTGAAGTAGGAAACTTCACTGTGTTCAAGGGCACTCATGGTCAGAAGTTAGGTGATTCTTTGCAATCGCTGCTCCAATCGGCACCTGCGACTTGCGACCATCGATGGCAGCAGCTGCTGCGGCCTCGCTTTGAAGCCAAGGCGTCCTGCTCGGAAGCCGCTGTGATCCCCGCCCCTCCGCTTGCACCGTAGGAATCCGTAGGGACATCTGTGGACCAAAACTTATACCCTGCAGAGCTGACTAAAATGCGACTCCAGACATCGACCCGCAGGAGCCCGGCCCTCAGCCGAGGTTCAGTGCATCTCGGCTCTTTCGAGCTATCGTGCTCTGGGTCGAACATGGTCGAAGACCTATTCTCCACGATCAGTTTGGGCACTATGAAGGGTTCAACGGGGGAGCCTTTCAGAGGCCCCTCTCAAGGCCTCCCAGGACCTGGCTGTAGGCCCCTCTCCGGTCGGATGATAGGCTTGGAACCAAGCACCTTCTTGCAGATACCGTATACCAGTCATGAAAGACTGTGCTGAAAGAAACGATAAATGCGATTTAGCATGCTGTAGTATGCTTTAGAGTACTGACGGCCTTAGGACGCATTAGCATACTACAGCATGCGCGGTTCACTGGCCTGGTGGCTTTGCAGCGAGCGACGGGCTGCCAGAACCTGGCCAAGGATTCTGATAACTGTAGTTGTGGGCTCGGGGCTTATCCTCTAGTATGGTTTAGGGTGAAAGCTTGGGGGGTCGGGTTCGGAACCACCTAAGGTAAAGTTTATACTGTATACTGTATACTCCACAGCGACCACAAAGCCGTTGTTACTACTACCGTGTATGGATTTAACTAGTACACGTACATAGCTACAAAGTGCGCTTCAGTACTAGATTACCAGAGATCCTGTGTGAGCTACTGACGCTCATGATAGTTATAGCTCGATATCTCTCCGAATCCCACCATCATAGCTGGGAACTACAGACTGTCAGACTTTAAGATTAATCCCACAGGCCACACAACTCGGTAGACTGACTGGCTCTCAAAGTTGTGAGCGTGGGAACATTTTCCAAAGGCAGAGCTGCCAGCAAAAGCACTTGAGGCCTTGCCCAGCTGTCTGCACTTCGAGGCTACGGCTGCACAACGTAGCACAATGGAACTTCCGCAGTGACTGCATGCACCTGCAGAAAAGTTCTCATACCTTCGCATAGTTCATTCGGCTCTCTGGCCGATGCCCTATGGGCACGGTGCCGGCTGTTCTTCTGGGGCAGACAGCAGCGCCAGCCAGTCGGCCCGGGTCTTGCCCTGAGCGTGCTTTTGTACGTGGTCCACAATGGAGGACTCGTACAACCCGCTGTCGTCGTAGAATGCCAGTGCCAGAGTGCCTGGGACTCTACGGGATAGTTTTTGATGCTACGCCCTGATACGCGACTGATGTATCAGCTGAGCGGCTGTCCAGCGGATCATCCACATCCGGACACAAAAGCAAACCATAGATGCTCTCCAGCAAGCTCCTCGCCCGTGTCTCGCGTGTCCAGTTTCTGCCTAGGATGGAATGACACACGCGGCCAGGCTGATTGATGTTGCAGTGCTTGATAGGCGTGATGAATCGAACTTCCGGTGGCTCCACGGGGAACTCTGGTGGAAAGACAACGTAGAGGAGCCACACCCCTCCCGCGTATGGCGTCCCATCTGGGCCGGAGACAGTCACCTTCCAGAACCCAACATCATCGCAGCCGGGGAAAATGTCAAAGGCCGGGTGCGGCTCCCTGTGCAAATAGCGCATCTCGGCCAGAATCCTTCGAAGCCTTGCCTCCCGGGCCTCTGGGCCTCCTGGGCCTCCTGGGCCGCCTCCCGTCTGGTGCAGGGCATCCTGCAAGCCGTGCACGCAGCTTCCGAGCTGAGGCGGCTGCTTCCGGGGTGGAACTTGGTCCTCGCTGCACGGGTCCAGCGGGAAGAAGGCCGGTCCATAGGCTTCCAGGGAGCTCATGGAGTTCACTGGAGTTCGACTGCAGGGAGGCCGCTCCAAACTGAAGAGGAAGGTCTCCAACTCATTCAAGCGCACTGCATCTTGGAGGCTTCCTGGCCGGAAGACGTAGCCCCCGCTTGCTTTGCTTATCGCGTGAAGGTCAGGATCCGTCTCATTGCCGATCATCACAGCATCCACAACCACCCCCTTGCTTTGTAAGAAGTGTGCGACCTGCGGCGCCTCCTTCACGGAGCTCGTGTCGCAGCCGTCGGAGAGAACAACGAGCCGAAGCTTCGGAGGCTTCGTCTTCCCCGGTTTCGAAAGTTCCTGTGCCCTCCAGGCCTCGAGCTTCTCAGCGGCCATCTGCACGGCATCAAAGAGTCGAGTGTCCCCATCGGGCATGACCTCCGAAATGCTATCGCGAAAGCTTTCGTAGGCTGGAGTCAGCTCACAGCGCTCCTCCACCGAGCTCCCGAAACATATCAAGCCGGTGGCACAGGGGTTGTTGTAGGCCAAGGACCTGTCAATAAAGGCGTTGAAGAGCTGTTTGACGACCTGAGGTATATCAGAACATCACGAAAAGCAAGCCTACCTCTCACAGAACTTGTAAACCATTACACGACACACCAGCCAGCCTAGAAGGGCTTCTTCTATCTTGAGCTGAGATGCGGTGATTCGATCAAGATAGCGACCGCAGGCCTTGGCTTCCCGGATCGTCTCCCTCCCCTGCCGGCATAGATCAAACTCCAGCTTGATCTCCGCTGCTTCGCCTGCATAGTGTCCAACACAAAGATCGTCCGAGAGGAGCGTGCCCCTGAGGAACCCGTCGCCCGCCTGTCCACAAACATGCAGAGTGAAGAAGCAAACCAGGATCAGCCCAACTACTTTCCCGAGACGATGGAACAGACATGCTCCCAGCTACCTCGTGCAAGTTGAACCAAAGATCCATGCGACTTGGTCCGCTGCGTCGCTGCTGAGCTTTCGGAAGGCGTGCCCAGATGCGGCACTTCAAAGAGATCACAAGCTCACACGCGCCCACCTCAAAATGTACCGCCGTGGAAGACGATCTCGACTCCGACTCCAACAGCACCCGAACAGTCTTGGTTCGATGGGTGTGGGCAAGAAGACTTCCAACGGAGAGCCATTGCTTATGCCGGCAGTTCTGAGCTCCACGAGCTCCGGCAGCAAATTGCCTGCATGGTAGACGAGGTGGTAAGCAGCCGGCAGACATGTGATTGATCTCAGCTGTTGCTTCAAATAGGCCGGCGTGGCGGCGGCTGGCAGATTCAGCTCAACTACGTCCTTTGACCAACTCGCAGGCAAGTAGCACACCACGTGCAATTGTCCCTGTTCTGACGCAGCTGCTGGTGGCTGCCTCTGCGCAGGATGACAATCACACCAGTCTTGTATTTGTGACCGCAGTGCATGGTTGGGAACGAGAGTCGTGTCGGGCAACCTTTGCCCGGTCATGGGTGAGGAGTGGGACTTCTCGAACCATGCTGAGATTGCATCACTCTCGTAAGTGAAGCCATCCGGCGCGCAAACCGCATTCCTCATTAAGCTCCTAGTGATGGGACAGCAAAACTCGGGCGGCGGATCATCTTCATCATGCTCTAGCAGAACTTTCGCAAACTTCGATTTGTACTTGACCATCCGCCTGGCATCGTTCACGGAGCCTCTGGGTGTGATTCGTGCCAGGCTGCATAGGTCTTCCAGTATCATGTCTGCGCAGTCGGACTGCGCCCTCAAAGTTGTACGATCTTGGAGAATCTGGCGGATGTACGCCATCCCGGGCTGCAGATCGAAGCGCTTCAAGTGGCGCTGCAGAGCCTCCGCAGAGTCGTCGCTCGGGTCCTGCTCCAAATCCTGGCTCTCCTGAAACATGCCGGTGTCATGATCCCGTTCGAAAGACGAGTGCTTGCTCATGGAATCAGAGACATCAAGGCAAACAATGATGCCTTCCAGCAGTTCCTTCTCCTGAAGTTCTGTATCAAAGCTGGTACCCATCTCAGAAAGGTTCTTGGCTGCCACATCCAAGTCCATGTGCTCCTCCGAGCCCAGGCAGGGATCAAAAATCACTGCACTGCCTGCGGCAGACTTTCCGTGCCCTGTGAACACGACCACGACGCCTTCCTTAGTTTTGGTAAGCTTGGGTGGGCACCGACAACTTTTCAGCGACAGAACGCTGAGCAACCGCATGCACTGGGCAGCTTCTGTCCCACAGTACTTTCGCAAACTCGTCCAGGATGGGAATAGATCGCTGGACACAGCCACGGAAGGTGACGGAGAAGCTTCCATCACGAGGCACTCAGTCATGGGGGCATAGGCTCTCACAAGCCGTGACAATGTGAGGCTTTCCACTAACTCCTCGGCAGCCCTACCACTCAACACTTCCTCGCAGGCGTCCGGATCCTCATCTAACACAATCTTCTCTGCCAGGTACTGCAGCACGGCTTCTCGATTGAAGCCTGCATCTGGGACATCTGGGAGGCAAAAGACTGGCTCCTGTCCATGCGCAACTCATAAGCCTACAAGTTCATCTGCACAACAATGCTTGAATACTCAAGCTGGAGGCCCTGTCCTTCAAAGCTGCGTGGCTGATACTGCACATCAGGTCCACAGCCCGGAAAGGAGGCGAGGAAGAGGTGCTGCGCTGCAAGAGATGCGACAGCAGCAGCCGAGAATACTCGAAGAGGGACTCCCGCTCGGTATGTTCCGGGGCTATTCTGGTCAGCAGCTGATACATGCCATGGGCCACCGCGGCCTTCTCGGGATCTTGCATTTGCTGCGTTCGCCCTTCTAGCAAAAGCCGCAGCCCCAGGCAGAAGGGCGGAAAGGGCAGGTACTCCCACGCGGAAGCAACCAGTGTTTCGGAGGCTCCGTCTTCCGCTGCAAGGACATACAGACAAGACAACAAGCAGCTGATGCCAGCCTCTGTTTGCTGACAGGACACCACTTGCCAGGCTGTGTCTGCAGAAAACAATCCCACTCGATCCTCCTGTCCAAATCCGACACCCTTCCCCTCCAGGTCTCGCGGGGCCGAGGAGCACGAGCGCTGGCTCACGTACCTTGTTCAGTCACTGAAAACTAGACTGCTCGGACTTTGGTCTATGCGACGAACCAAGCCCACATCCTCAACTCCGCTATGGTAATGTAGTCCGACACCGCACCACTTTGGAGGCCAAGGTAAAACTAGATGTCTCCATGGACCCTGTGGATCTCCTCGGCCTACCACCTAGCGTGCTTTTTTGCAGCACAGCGTATACTCTTTAAGTTAACATAGCTCATTCTGTAACATCCTACACATGCAACAGCCCAGAGCGGCAGGATCTCCTCTTTGCGAACCTGCTCCAAGCACCGGTGCCTCTGCGGAGCTTTTGTTCAAGCGCCTTCTTCCTGCTACTGGAACGACCAACCACGTCAAGAGGAGCTCCGACTAACACAAATTACGGAAGGAACATGGTTATAGCTATACCGGAAGACATACATGTTCATGTACAGCAGTCATCACACACACACACACTGGCCGTAATACGTTTGCATTCGGATACTGGAACCTGGATGGGCTAATGAAGCACCCACTTTGACAAGGCCGTTTAGAGAACTTGATTGGGCAACTGCTTTCCCAGAATTTTTTCTATCAAGGTCTGCATGCAGGATTGTAGAAACAACCGAAACGACTTCTGCAACCTTCACGCGAAGATCAGCAGTGCGGGCACGAAGTAGCAACGCCTACCACCATCAGCACTACCAGCCTCGCTGTGGGAGCGGCCAAGCGCTGTGAGGCAACGAAGAAGTCTAGTGATACGAAATTCTGATCGGACAGGATCACGGTCACGGCGGCTTCGACCTCCAGTGGTGGTATCAACAGTACAGCACTCTGTGGCGAGGCAGGAGTGGCAGCTGTGCTAGCAGTAGACGCAAACAGAATCCTAGTAGTAGTCGTAGTAGTAGTCGTGGTGGTGGCGATAGTAGTAGTAGTAGTAGTAGTAGTAGTAGTAGTAGTAGTAGTAGTAGTAGTAGTAATGGTAGTTATAGTAGTAGTAATAATAGTAGTTATAGTAGTAGTAGTAGTAGTAGTAGTAGTAGTAATGGCA